CGCGTATTGTCTCTGCCAAACGCGCTACGCGGGCGTCTCCTTATCGATCGAGCTCAATATCCTCCCGCGTTTACACCTCGGTTACACGACATTAATTGTACTCGGAATTAATTCTAATACAATCCAAGAAATGACAATTATAAAATGTCACTCCTTCGCCCTGTAGTACATACCTTCTTATGAACGAAAAGAGCTCTGCTCTTCTATTTTCTTACGAGTAGTACTAATGAGATATTTCTTAACTAATTTGTAAGACCGATAACACACTAAATTTACAAACGGACGCCGAAAACCTAAATGTAATATATGACTGTGTAATCAAAACTGTTTAGTCCGCAACATCACCTTGTATTGTTCTTAGGACATAACTAACAAGTCAGTTCGAGCCCAGCTACCATAGTGCTCGCACATATACATATATTTTATAACTCGACTCTGTCTTATTTGACGACGATGACTGACTCAGGTGCGTCACTTAACTTTTAACTTTTAACTAAACCCTTTTTACTTATTAACCTACATTATTTCATAGCTGCGTTGTTGTTGTTGATTTGCAGTATCACTCGAAAAGGACCCAAAAGAATAGGGTCGAAACGTGGTGTAAGAAACTGATTAAATAATTAGCCAGTTGGGTTGACCATAAGTTTCCCGTCTCTAGTTCTAATTTATACTCTTGTCTTAGATACTCTTACTGGTACTGTTGTAGAAAAAGATTGAGCAAATAAAGAAAGAGCAAATAAATCTAGTTCTAATTTATACTCTTGTCTTAGATACTTTTACTGGTACTGTTGTAGAAAAAGATTGAGCAAATAAACTCGTATTCTGTTAACATGTGGACGCGATGTTTTCTCGCCGTTTCGTCGAAAAATTAAGAAAACTACGGCTAAATATCTATTACAGCTTATTGACGCAACTGTTTGTTACAGCTATTAAATTCGCTGGAAAATGACATTCGTTCATTCCGCCTGCGATCGAGCGATCAGGTGCAAAAAAAACGGAGAGAAACAGATCTCGAGAGAAACAATCGTACAAAAACAATTATCGCTCCTCATTTGTAGACACGTAGTGCAGACTCATCTGATTACGCATGATGTACTCCACTTGACAACCTCGAGTTAATGTATAAATTATGGAAGTAAACGGCTGAGTATAAATCTTGATCCTTTAACGCAATTAGCGACCTAAATGTAAAATACCATTTGCACATTGCATCTCATTCTCCCTCGTGTACTAACAGTAAGATTGAGTTGAGGCTTTTGACTATCGAATCACATATCGCAATTTTGGTATCCTGACTTTGGTAATTTCAACTTCGCTCGGGAGAGATTGAAAATTTTATTAGCGTTGAAATTAAAAACATACACAAAAATATTAATTAACTGTATCATGAAAACTGGCGAAGCACAGAAACCACTATGTTTGAAGAAGATATGTGTATAGTAAATGTTAAAAATATCAATAAAAGCGAGGGATCGATATAGCCATTTCAACCTTTCGCGTCTGATATCGGAGAATCCAATAATCCGAACCTTTCAGTTGTACCTTTTAAGTACTCGAGGAAATTTAGCTGATACACGTATAATTTTGTATTTGACACTTATCGACGTGAAATTTTTATTAACGTCTTAAATTTACATTACACGTAACCGATTGTGGGACGACCTTTCAACTGACCAGACGTCGAAGAACAAGCTAATTAAGACGTTAATCTAGGCACATTATTGCGAGCGTCGCAAAGATGCGCTATAAAATAACGTCGCACTAGATAAATAGCTCCGCGCACTTGCACAGTCGATTTAAAGCACCTAGCAGATTCGAACGCGCGTTTAAAGCACGCGTCATAATATATATCTCTCTCTCTCTTTCTCTCGGCTTATCGTAGCGTCTACAACGCCGCGCGTGTTATCTTTAATAGCGTTAGCAGAGCGCGGTACGTTTTGCGCGCAGTAGTGGGCACAACCTGCGACGAAATCGACGCGACCGATGCGATGCGAGCAACGTCGGCCACGTTCCAAGGTCAATGCGATAAGTCGGTCAAATCGCGGGGTTATCGCGCAATTCCGCATTTCGTTCGCGTTTAAATGGAAAGCCCAACAACACTCTCACGGGCAGCCTCCGCTTTTCCGCCCGGACGGAAAACAACTTCGCGTTATTCTACCATTTTCAAAACAATTGTCTCGCGACGCTTGTTCAGCAGATTAATTAACTTTTTAAACATTTGGCTCTTAACAATTCTTAGCACGGATTGAAATGAAAAGCCCAACACCTCCGCTTTTCCGTCCGGACGGAAAAAACAATTTCGCATTGTGCTACCATTTTCAAAACAATTGTCTCGCGACACTTGTTCAGCAGATTAATTAGCTTTTTAAACATTTGGTTCTAAACGATTCTTAACACGAATATAAGAACTCACGAGTATCGCTTCTAATATGACTGGTTTTTTTTATGATATCTGATAACTTAATATTGTGTACCTGTTTATAGTAATTTATGCTTGTTATAATTATTACGAACTTACGTCTACCTGTCACACTCGTTTGTTAGCAACAGAGGTGTAGCGATAGTTAACAAAACTGCGTTTGAAAAAAATAGCGAGTCCATAGTTCATGAATGACGAGGCTAAAAATGGCCCACCCGATGACGCACTATTTCGGCGTGCTCAACCAATCGTGCCAAGGTTTGGGCAATTGCGTATCACGTAATTCACACACAGCCTTAACTTTACTGTCATTCAATTGCTACGTTGTCCGTGTGATATTTCTTCGTGTGTGACTTTATAGAAAAAAAGTATTTTAAATATTTGAAAAAATATTTAGTGCTAAGTTATGTACGTTTGCGGATCACTTGAAAAGGGTCCAAATCCGGGACCGAAACGTCGTTCGTTTTTTTTTAAATAAAAACATTGGCCAGTGTAGGTCGTTTTTTGAAAAACTGCATATCAATTGGTTTTATACTACTGGCGATATTAAATCTATTTGTGATTTATATTGAAACTTATTCGACGATATCTATTTGAAAAATGTCAATCATAGTGTTAATCAATTAAAAAATTATCTGCAACTAACTTCTTTTCTATTTATACACTGAGGATGGTCTAAAGAAAGACCGAAACGTCTGTAATTTTTATGTTTTAATAAACTAAAGTTTCACCTTTTTGACACTAACACCTGGTCAAGGCTCTTAGCCCCTTTTACTCATTAATATTATCTGCGACTATTCGTGTCGCTTATGATGTTCTTTTACTTCTCCGCCGTCCGCTGAGTACATAAGAATTCTCATCGCGTAAACGACGTTGGACCGCTTCTCGACCCGGTCGAGAGATCTTGTTTAGAGCGATAACAGACGACAACAGAGAGCCAATTTCTCTAGAAGCGGCGTAGAAAGTCGTTTTCGGGTGCTCACGCGGCTTCATTGAGAGCGCTTGGAAACGAGCCAATAAGAGATCGCACAGCAGAAAGTTTGTCGCACATCGACGTTGCGTCGTTCGAACGTCGTCACGCGTCATGACGTGCGTCCGTGCGTATACCCGATATACTGGGCCAGCGTACGGTGTAACCGAGCAGAATCAAATATTAACGTACAATGTGCATAAGCAACAACACAATAAATCCCTTCTTTTGTAACAAGTGGCACAAGGATATTACATGCAACGACATCTCGTGTGGAATTCTGCTCGGATATTGTAGAAAATGACGAGTGATTCGTTTGCACTGCAGGATTTTTTTAAGCATTTTAATGCGTAACGAAAGCGTGTACGAATCTCTATCTTTAAATATGTACAAATGAAAAATTACTCTCAAGTTGACGATCTAATAAGAAAAAATTAATAACGACAATGTTATTTACGACTTATCTACAAAAACTTGTGTCTAAAAGTCAAGCTGCAGGTTGCTTCGTTTATCTATTCTCGTTTGAGAATACATCACTGCATATCATAGGCTTTGTAAACAACGATACGAGACTTCAAGCTAAAATCGTAAGGTGCAAACGAATCTCAAGGGAGTAGGCCTTCCTAGGAGGTTTTTCAACAAAATCATCAGACTTTTATTGACAAATAACATTCAGTTATAAAGACTGCATATCGAACGAGTTACAGTAGTTTTCTCAACCGAAAACTAGAGCAAGTATACGCGCGGAAACGACTGTAGCTCGGACTGTAACTGGATTATTCGAAATGAAAAAAAAATCCGGGAATTCTTAGTTAATACATTAAATTACTCGGGAGTTAACATAGCAAATTTTCGAACAAGTTGATCTGCAGCAAAATGACAATTGAAATATCGGTCGTCGGCCAACAAATCGCTTATACTTTGTACGTAAAAAAGTAAGTAAAAGTAAAAAGGAAAAAATCCTGTATAGGCTCCTAAATTCTCATGTCCAAAATAAGCCTGCACTTGAATGAATTTAGCAACTTGAATTAAATCGATCGAGTAGTTTTGGCTACAGTAATGCGATTCTGAGAAAAATGCATTTAAAGTTCTGCATGTGGCTTACACATAAGTAAGAAAAATTATGTTTCAACTTGGACCATGTCATCCGTCTCTAGCCTGTATTCACTAGTACAAAAGAGCTCTCCAAGGGGATTATCGTACCGTGCCTGCTCCGAGTAATGCAAAGCGCGCTTCAAAGAGCATAATTTGCACTCTTTATAACTTTGTCAATTTCGCCCGGATTGACTTGGGACTTTCAGGAAATACGTCCAAGGTGTTTTACGAAAACGCCAAAACCCAGAAATTGATTTGTCTTTCAAAGTTTCTAGGCAAGCCTACTCCCCCTAACTGTCGGGTATATTTCATTAGTAAGATCAGCCTGGGAGATTTGCCATTTGATCTCACTTAATTCTCCTGTCTTCGCCACAAATGTATGAATTATTTTTCCTCTTCGTGCCACTGGTCGGTCTCGCGGAATACAATAAATTAAATTTTTCCAAGAGATGAAAAGGCTAATATCTCAGACCGAACTTACGTAAGAACGCTCACTAGGACAGAACAGATACTTACAGTCTGCTGCTGGGCTCGTTGTTGGCTTCGTCGCCTTCGATTCGATACACCTTGCCGGACATGACGTATTCAAAGCTGTCTGCTCTGGAACCGCCCTCCTGTTCCATAGGGCTCCACTCGTTACCGTCTGGATACCCGTCCTCGCGTAACGTCGTCGCCAGTACAAGGCGGAATTTATCTCCTGAACACACAACGGCGTTTCGTTACACATATAAAAGTTTCCGCTCGTTAACTAATCTTTGTTCCGTACATCGCTACAGAAAAAAATAAATATTTTAGTCACGGGCAAAATAATTTCTTTCATCGCTCACAAGTTTCGCATACTACTTTTCAGTGAGGTTGTCACAAAATTGACTAATAAATACTTATTGGCGCGAACGTAATTCGCTGGAAACAATAGACAGTATTTTATTCATCGTGGCAATGACGCAAACAGGTAAACGGAATTTTTGTTTCTTGAACGTGTCACGTATATTAAATCCGCAAAGGAAAGAAAGTAAGTGTCGAATAAAATTAAATGCACGAGGCTCTCGATGGGAAAAATATAGCAGTTCGTTACCTCAACGACTCGGTAATGGCATATTTTCTGCCGTCTGCGCAGTAATATCGGATGCCTACGCTTCAACGCAGGATGATCTCGATGTTTCTCGGATGCGAAAAAAAAAGCGCCATGCAATGACGGAATATAAACGAGTCCAATAATAGCGTTCGCGCGAATGCATCGAAAACACATCGCCACATGATTGCATCAGTCACGTTCCATCCGCTCGTTGGCGGGTGCTGGCTAGATTGTATAAACTGACGGATCCACCCTTTCCACCGTACATACGATATTTCGACGGATGCGCGGCTCGCGAGATGCACTTTGCATCTTGCCACGCAAAGTGCACTTGGTTGAACAAGCCGTTAGGTGCAGTTTGCGGAGAGAAGTAAATGTCAAATTTTGCAAAATTGCGCAAAAAGTGAGAAAAGTGACAAGTGCGCTAATTCATAAAAACTTGGATTATTCGCCCATGTATTTTTATCCCCGCGCTTAATTAAATCTACGCGTGCAAGATTATTGTCGTGTGTACGTTCGCTCGATACTACTCGTCTGGTATCGAGATAAAATCGGCGGATCTCAAAACTTAAATGTTTATTATTTTATACAATATTAATACGATGGTAACTTTAACCTTTACTAAACTGGAACTGCAAAGATTTCCACGATTAAACTAATTAGTTTCAAGTGACGAAACTTTACTCGCGCCATCGGCACAAATATTGCTAATCGTGAGTATTACGTAGAAAACAAGATTGCCAGTTTAAATCACATCACTATCGTTAAATTAAGTTAATTTAACAGGATTTAGATCTCTCGGCTTGAGAGATCAATAAAATTACGCGTCGCAATTTTCAATGCCCGCCCGTCAGATGTGCCTGTGATATTTACCGGAGCAGTATCTATTTCTCGCTCGTGCAAAACTAAATTAGTCGTTAAAAATTAAGAGCTTCGCGAGATCGCGATCATAAAATCGATAGTAACGAAGGAAGAAGCGAGGCGTAAGGTCGAAAGAGGTGATGTAACAAGTGGTACAAAAGACTAGGGAGAGAAATAGAGAAAGCTGTTAGGAAAGGTCATCGTAATAGTACTCCAAGTTGGAACAAGCGAGGAGAAAGAAGACTGAAAGAAGCCGCGCTGAAAATAAACGTGGATCCATTTTACGCGTTCAATTCACAATGTACAAGCTCGTAAACAAAACTTTACGTTTCGGTATAAGTCGAGTCTCGGTATAGCTCGATAAGATGTTACGAATGAAACAACTGGCAGCGCGCGATCTCAAATCGAGCCACGAGTCCCCAGTTAAATTTCGTTATCGCAATCGAATACACGGGCTGGTCCTAAGCAACGAAAGATCCCAAAGAGATTTCTGAGATTATCGCCGTGACGCAACCTACATGTCAAAGTGAATACGGGAGATTTTAAGGTAGCTATTTCGGAAAATCATTTATGTGAGAATTGTTTCAAATTTTTACGGTTTCCTCACATCAATACGTGCAAAAGACGACTAATTAAATTAAAATTGACCGTCTCAAAGTTCTAAAAAAAATTTTTTAAGCTTGCTATGTTACACGACATATTACGTGTAAAACACGTTGAAAGTATTTTTACACGCAACAATATAATTCGTTGCAATATTATTCACACATATTATTATGTGTTAAAATATTAATATTTGCGTTTGCAAACGCAAATGATGGCACGCTTAAGTTTTTTTAAGCTTAACACGATGAGTTGCGATTCGTACGAGAAACAAATATGTTATAGAGCAAAATAGAACGACTAGCTTGTAAAAGGAATCAAAATTACTGACCGTCCCGTTTCAATGATATAAACAGTTAAAACTGAAAAATGGGAACAATTGTGCAGCAGACACGAGTGCGGTGCAAGAGATGTGGCAACGGCGCCACAAACTACAATCTTCCGAATATATTTTATATTGTGTATTAATCGTGTGTATTAGCGCGTCACGATATATCATTGTAAATCGAGTGCTCGTTTCCGTTTGGAAGAAACCTTCGAGCATTACTGTCGCGAGGCAACTGCCTTGAGTACAATTGGTTAGTGCGAAAAAGCCCTCCGTTTCCACACGACGTCCTGGGCCGGGGCGATACGTAAGAAAGCCCGGGACGCAAGGTCAAGGTTAAGCACACGCAACGGCAGGTATAGCGCGAGCTTTAATCGATACTACATCGTCGTCGTAGTCGCCGGTGGTGGTGGCGGTGGCGGCGGTGGCGACGCCGCCACTGCGCTGCCGCCGCCGCCGCCGTCGCCGCCGCCTCTGTTCGGCAAACATGAAGCCTAAACATTTGTAACAAAGAACGGAAAATTTTCAACGGCCGATCAGCCGCGGCTTCTCGCGCGACATTACATATTCCCGTTGCCCGACGAGTTCTACGCCATTTTGATGGCCAATATTAACAGTTCGCCGCCGCGCTCACGCACTTGCTTCCTCTTAATCCGTCGGCGGCGTATCGGGAACGCTTTCTTGCGCGCGTAATAGATAAGAGGCTAATTTGGCCACTGTGGTTATCGCGTCGCAGCGGGAACGAGTCCGGGAAAACCGGTCAAATTGATCTCACCGCTCTCCGCGCAGAGTAGGTACGTGAGTCAAGCTTACGTCATAATGGTGCCACACCGTAACAGCGGCGGCTACTATACGTCATCCGGTCGAGTGATGTCGCGGTGGCGCGGTAATACCTCTCGCGCTTAAATTAACCCTCGTTCAACCGAAACGCCATATATGCCGGACGGACGGACGTCGGTCCGTCGCGGGACTTTTATCCGGCGACGCGTGGACGCGCGCGGCCCCGCACACTTGCCGCGAGAAACGAAAGGCGAGTCCGGGACGATCGCGGACGGCTCTAACGCGGAAATCTAAACGGAAGTGCCGATCGCGCGGCAAATTGCAGCGTCGATACTGCGAGGAGCGAGAAAGAGACGCGATAATTAGCGCCGCTTTACGCGACGGCGCGCAATATCAATTACGTTCGAGTATCGCGGCGACTAATTGGAGCAATTAAGGATCGGCTCACGCGGAACCGGAAAGAGAGGACGAGCTCCGAGGGGGCGCGCTGGCGCGCGCGCGGCTCACGACGATGACCTTGGGAGAGCCGCGGCGATTCTCGCGTAGGGAGGAGAGGCCTCCCACGAAATCGATAACGCGTGACAGCGCGCGGTCGACGGCGATATATGTATATGCGCGCTGGAGGGATCCAACACACAAACGATGCGGCTTACCTCGGCGCGGCGCGGCGCGGCGCGGCGCAGCGTCCGTCCGGATCCTGTCCGAAATCCGCCGCCATCTTGGCCCGTGACGCGAATCTCGGGGCGGCGTAGCGTGCTACTACCTCCGCGGGACGAATCCATCCGTGCGCGGCGCGCGCGCGCGCGCGCGACCTTGCCGACCTTCCCCGCCTGAGTGCCGAGTCCCGAGAGCGGAGATTCACGAGAGATCACAAAATCGACGCTTTCGATCGGCCAGGCGCGCACTACCTATTCTCTCCTCCGTCTCCACGTCGTCCCTCCTCTCGTCCTCGTCGGGACGTCGACGCCCACGCGTCCGCCGTCGCGTCGTCGACGGTTTTCTTTCTCCGTCGCGGAAAGAAACGCGGAGCGGGGGCCGCGCCGAAGCCGCCGCCGCCGCCGCCGCCGCCGCCGCCGTCGTCGTCGTCGTCGTCGTCGCGTCCGGACATCGCGGCTTAAAATATCCGCGCGAAACGCGCAGGCAGACACGACGGTCTTTCTCCCCTTCGAAACGGCACACTCCGGCGTCGCGTATATCCAAAATGTCTGCTCGCTCGTCGCCGGGACGGACGTCGGTTCGTGCCCGCGAGGCTCGTCGACGGGGAGCACTTGGAGGCGAAACCAACACACACGGGGGGGCGTCCGCCACGTCGCGCCGGAGCGAGAGGAGCGGCGAGAGAGAGAGAGGAGAGGCGAGGAAAGCGGAGCGCGCGCGACGCGTTTTACTCTCGCTGTCGTTGAGGAAGAGCCCGTAGGCGCGCGCGAACGCGGAAAGAGGGACACCGGACGGCGAGGCTCGTCGCCTCTCCTCCTCGAGGAACGAGCGAGTATCGCGCGCACTCACGACCGACACGGTTGCGAGTCGTGGCCGCTTTGACCTTGGCATTGAACTTGTGGGCGCCCGACGCGGGACGGGGCGCGCGGCGGAAGACCTGCGCCTGCGGAAGGGACCGCCGGAGTGGGGAGCGCAGCTGAGCCGCGGAATGAGTGGCCCGGGGGCCGAGAGGGGCGGGGGCGGGTGGGGGAGGGGGCGACGGGGCCGACGGGAGCGACCGGGGCGACGAGGAGGCCGCGGAGAACGGACGATATTATATAGTGGGAGGAGGGAGATTGCGTCATCTCGCGCAAGCCTCAACGCCGCGCGTCAATACAGCGGCGAGACTCGCCTGCCTAGTGCCTGGCCCTTGGTGTGTGGACTTAACCTTCCCGCGCGCGCGCCCGCGCGCGCGCACACGTACGCGTATTCCAACACACACGCTAGCCCAGTTCGTCTACGTATACCGAATGCGCTCTGTATACCGTATGCGTGTCAGGCGCATTTAGGACTAATGTGTAAACAATCCAATTTAGGAGCATGTAACGGATTTTATCGCGCGGCATCTGCAGGCTGCTACGACGTAACAAATTGTCCTCCTTCGTTGCTCGGCTCCGTCCACTGCGCGTTGCGTACGCGCGTTTCCCGAAAGTGGGATCGTTTCGACAACGCGACCACGGGCGGGCGTATCTCGTGTCAACACTCGCCCTGCATGCACGCGTACTCGTAGTTATTAATCGTAAGGTTACGACATACTGTAAACTTGTTTAAAGCAATTTCCTTTCACCGACATGTAATCTGCCATGTGTCATAGTAATGAGAGGGTGCACGCCAAGCGATTGTGAATGAACCTTCGGTCTACAAATTTATGTAATTTCACTTTGGAGCGGACCAATTTCACCGAGAACTCGAGAGGGCACCTTTGCAGCGGCGACTCGACAGACGGTAGACTGTATCGGGATAAGGCATCGTAGTAGCCCTTAGTTCGGGACCAACTTCACCAATCGCCGCGGCTGCATCGGTAATCCAGAGGCGGAGCCAAGACGAGCCTCGAAGTCGGACTCGGTCAGCGAGAGTCTCCATTGGTCAAGTTCAGAGACGAGGAAGCATTTAATCGCCGCGATCGCGCTGTTCTCCTGCGAGATGCAACGTGCTCGCTGGAGCAAGATGGCCAGGCTTAGCGATAAATCGCACGTCATCGGATCACCCGCGATATAACCGGACGAGCGATCGCGAAAAGATGGCGGGTTTGGAAAAAAAGGCGTTAGGGGGTGAACCGTTTCTAGACACGTAGCAGGATTAGCGCAGGAACGAATTGAGAGATAACGTGCTATCACCGTCATTTGTCACGTCGCAAATATCGTAGGGCAAAAACGGGAAACTCGCGAAATATCGATTTAGGAATTAAAATCGTAGCCTCCCGAGTTACTTCTCGCAGACGAGAGAAAAATATTGAAAGGTTACAATTTCACGAAGGCATTTAATTGATAGGGGCAAGTGGTCTATTATGAGATACCGAGATTTCCGCTAAATTAACAGACAACGTGCGCTGGTTCCATCGTGAATTTATTGCCCTTGGAGTGAGGTCTGTTTAATGGAAAGTGCATTGTAGACCGTGTGACCGTCGCGAAGAAAGAGTTGCGATTGAATGTCGACGTTGAAAACCTGCTATCTCGTATTAGAAGTCCATCTCAATCAATCAATCTTTGTTACACTTCAGCTTACACGGCAAAAAGTGGGGCTTGGTTTACAATTATGGCCTTACCTCACACGCACTCTTATTTGTTGCTCTATTCCTGCAACGCATTCTATCCCTAACTTCTACGCCCCTGTCCTTCTTTCTCAATCGCACTATTTGAACTCACTCTCACCCTATTCAACTTCACCTGCCCTATTCCTCTCCTACTCCCCTACTCCTCTGTCTTCATTATCCTCTTCTTACTCCCTTCATTCCCTTTTGCCTCTTCGTACAACTTCTCTATACTCGTTCCCGTCGAATGCGGCATCAGCTATCAGAGGTCTATCTCGTAATAGAGGACTCTATAACTTTTCTATTGCATTGTGAATTATTTTTAAGTATTGACCACAACCGTTACGCCCACACGGAAAAAACAATGTAGCTGCTGTAGCTAAAACTTAGCAAAATAGGGACAGCTAATATTTTAGTTGTGATAGCTCAATATTTTGCTACTGTGCCTATTGTATTAGGTGCGACAGCAAACGGTTTGCTGTCGTAGCAAAATATTGAGCTATCACAACTAAAAATATTAGCTGTCCCTATTTTGCTAAGTTTTAGCTACAGCAGCTACATTGTTCTTTCCGTGCAGCTATGTACCTCAGCTACGATTTTTATCACTAACTAATCCTGTCCGTCTCAATTACTCTACACTCTACAATCACTGATAACTATGTACCAGACGAATAACCGTTTAATTTTAATTTTAAGTTTAACTTGCGCCGATGAAAGCACTGTGTGCCGAAACGCGTCCGCGGATCTGTACTTCGACTGTAACATCTTGAAGTTTAAAATATATATTGCTTTGTTAACTCTCGCGCTCGTCAAGAGTGGCCTCCTTTATTTACTTGTCGACTTGTTTTTATATAATGTTACATATAAAAAATATATACGCACGAAAACGAAAACTGCTTCAAAGTGTATGCGTAATATCTACAAGTACAAGCAAAACAAATTATAATTAATAAGGTATAGGACTGTTAAAAAACAAATTTTTATGTTTGCTTTGAAATATGTAAAATAAATACGACACGAGATGTGTGCGTGGCACGCTCGCGAATGAGTTTCTAAAATGTTATTTGTTCTTGTGTCTATGACGCTAGTACTTGGTCCAAGTTCTAATTCCGCGAAATATGTAGCAAATCAATATAGCTG